GCGTTCAAAGTTACGTATTAACTCAAGTATTTCCACCTTAGAGCCTTAAACGGGGTTACAGATGGTGAATTAGCTACCGCACAACTAAATCTTATTATAATAGTAATTATACTTGTCTAATATGTCGAAAAACATTCACCAGATCCAATTCCAATTAACTGGAATCGGTGCATGCCTAAGGCTGATTGATTTCTGCTGCCATTGTATTGCTCATATCCGACAAGTAAAACCGCTATAGCTTTTTTATTAGTGAATGAATCTAGGTGAAATTTTTATAAGTTATTCGTCTCAAATATGCGCACTATCACTGAAGAAATCAACCAAAAATATTACATGATTATCGAGTTATTCCCGACACACTATAGAAAAACACAACTTTGGCTGACACCTAGGGACAGTGAAATTAATTTTGAAAAAATTACATCTCAACTTACCCTTTGCAAACAAATTGTAGTAGACACATGCTGCTTTGAAATATATGTGAATGAATTTCTAATTTATCCAGTTTCTGAGTAAATTCACACTAACAATGGCGTCGCAGACTAAACTGTGTTTTTTCTGTCCTGCTAGAATCAGCGCGATATAGCTTAGCTCGATAAATATGGAAAAGACAGCTAGCTAATAGTTACAATAATACTGTGATTAAAAAAATTAGTTTACTTTTTATCTTTTGTTAGAAAAGAAGAAAACACTATTTAAAAATGGCTATTTTTTGTTAAATGTTCCGCTAACTATTAAAGATTATTTTTTTGACATTTTTCAAACTAGCTAATCTTTAGTTTTGATTTTCATAACATTTTTGTCGATTATAATGATAAACATTTTCGTAATGTTTCAACTTGTTCGGTTTGTTATGCTTTTCCTAGCAAAAAACTCGTTTTCCAGAAAAAAGTGAAAGTGATAGCCAAAAAACTTAGTTTTTTGTCACTGTTAAAGCTGGTAGATTCTCCTGGGATTGTCCAAAACAGTTCTCATGAAAATCCATTTTCTCTATTCTCTTCACGTAAACGGTACAAGGGCAGCTCAAATCACTCGACTGCTTTTCTGAAGTAAACGTCTTTTATCAAACTATTGAGTCAAATTGAATAGAGCACACTAACCGACATTGTACGTGCAAGTCAGCGTCACTTTTCATCAAGTTATCTACATTTTTATGTGCCTCAGATACTCGTCTCATAGCGTACTTGCTACGTTGTGACATACAGTACAAGTCCTGTTGGCTTGTGGTTAATAACTAGTAAAGCGATGAATGACAACCATGGAAGATTATCGATTGGAGAGAAGATACAGACTACCTGAAATTGGGAAGTCGGATTTAGTACGTTACGCCAGCAACTGTAGGCGATCGGATATTCTTCTTCCTAATTCAGATTTGAATGGAAAACATATTCTTTAATGCCGCTGATATGACCAAATACCTATGTCCTTCTTTAAAACGTTCGTTTATTGACGACGATGGTAGGCGAAACCTGTTTCTTGTTAACATAAGAAATGAAGAGAAACAGCAACTGGTTATAGCCAATAGAAAATGGGAGGAAAACGATAACGTTATACATAAATTTGTTCGAACTATCATCTGTTTTTCTTTTTTTAAAAAGAAGTTTGTATAAGGTAGGTATGTAAGTTGAATAAGAAAATTTTTATACGGTGACTAATAGAGTAGGAAAATATCATACCTCACACACATATGATTTACAGTTCAACGGATTCTTGTCTTTCTTTCTTCTTATCTTTGTTTCTTTTCTTCTAGTCATTTATAAATATTTGGATTTTTATTGATACAGTTTCGCACTATGAGTTTCTGTAGAAACCGTTGGTTTGTTCTAACATTTTTTGTTAAGTAACAAATATAATAAGAAATTTTCAAAAAACAGTCTTTTGAACAGTTATTTTTTTAATATTTTTTCCCAATTACTTGGAGTGTTTTACGCAAGGATTTTTTCTGTAATATACTTCATTTCGAACAGGTAGTTTTTGTTTTTATGATGTTGGATGTTAAGGAGACTGGTTGTGTAATGTTTCTACTTTTTTTCTATAATGTTTTTGAGGCAAACAGAATAAAATTATATAGAATTGTGAAAAAAATTCATTTGACGAACGTAAAGGCCAAAATCAATGGAAAAAAAAACATTTTCTTATCCACGTTTCACTCAGAAAGGATTGAAGAAATATTTTTCAACGTGCATGAAGACCCAGAACAACTTTTCTCAATGAATAGTAGTATAATAAACACCGAATGCATAACTATGTATTACGAGACGTTTCGTACAATATCTTAGTACATCCTCAGTCAGAAATAATACAAGAAAGCTGTACAGTTTGATGTACACTTAAATAGAACAAAAACACAGAACGCAAAAACATTTTTTTTTTCGCTGACTATAAAGGTTTAAAACCTGATTTGTATTATAGATATGTTGATGATATTTTTATGATCATGCACGGTTCACGAAAAGATATTCATTCATTTCTGAAATTCATGAATAAGCTTGAAGAAAATTCCATAAAATTCACTTTGAATATGCAAGCGAACAACAAGCTACCCTTTCTTGATGTAATGGTTGAGAGAACCGCCGATGAGCTGGTTACTTATGTCTACCGCAAGCCTACTGATACAGGCTTGTATTTAAAATGGACTAGTAACCAACTCAGAACTTATAAGATCAATTTAATTAAATGTCTATGTATTCGTGCTTAACGTATCTGTTCATCAGACGTTCTATTCCAACAGCAGCTAGATTACTACGAAAGAATTTTCACAGCGAATGGCTACCCTTTGAATGTAATTAAAAAGACCATCAGAGGTGTGAGATTAGGTAAAAATATTGAAAAACGTCCTCCTAATCCTCTTGTAAAGAAGGTATACGTTTCAATTCCTTACTATGGTGAATGCTCGTTAATTTTGGCTAACAAAGTGAAGAGTATTCTAAAAAATCCGGTTAAAAAAATTATCTTTGGATTTGCTGCTCAAACACGAATTTCAAGTTTATTTAGCAGAACATTTAGGGCCAAGAAGGCCTTGAAGAAAGTGGTGTACCAGTATGATTGTAAAGACTGTAACGGTTGCCACCTACAGAAGTGTCCATAAGATGCTATTGCCACGTTCGGAAGTGTGAGGGGACCTTTTGAGGTGATCAAACGCTTTTTGCTCGGAATCTAGTGGTTTATAGGTTATCGACCATCCGCTTTGATACTGTCACGGGTGAAATTAACTTTTTCTTTCAAAAAAGTAGCTGCCGCGAACAAGATTTGTTTGATGGAAATGATGCTGTTGAAATTTTAACGAACGACATCTCAAGTGCACTATTTTCATTGGAAAACCCAGTTAATACCACATACCACTATCATCCATTTTAAGAATGCTCTGTACACTTGAAAGATTATCAAACACACAGTATTTGTCTACTTTACTACATGCAAATTATTTACTCACGGTGATAACTATGGGTACAATTTATTCCAAACCACTAGTTGATAACAAAGAGAAACGAATTGTCCACCACTGCATTTCAGTCTAGTTGTGTTGATGAAGATACAGGACAGAGAAAAGATAAGACACAGAGATCTTTCATTTGCTCTATCTCTCGCCACGTGCAATCATCTTGCATTAGAAGAATGTGTTACTTGAGGATGGAGACGAAACCAGGAGAGGAACACGTTCAGAAGGAATGCATTCAGGAGTGCTTACGGTTCTTGATATAAATGAGTTTTCGTAAAAAACACGCTATCAAACAGTAATATCACGATATACCCTTGCCATTCTTTCTTCACTTGATATTTGACTGGGCTATGGACTGGGCTGCATTTTTTAATTGATTTAACTCTAAGCACTAATCAATGTACACCTAAACTGTGAATGTAATATATATCGCTAAATTGGAAATTTAAGAAAAAGAACATGAACAGACTTACTTCAATTAAATTTTACTTTTCATTAAGCGGGATTTGTATTGGAATCATCGATTTTGACAGCTAGGATCATTCTTGTTGTTCGTGTAACATGTACAGAGAAAAAATGTTGTATTACTCAAACAAATTCTCAAACACAAATTTAGAGAGAGTCATCGCCTTGAAGAAAGATGCACCGACCTATAGTTTCGGACCATGAAAATAAGCTCTGTGTGAAACTATTTTTCGAACTCACTCTCACACTGCCAATACCCCACCTCGGTTGGACAGTCGGGGTCCTAGTCGCGGAAATGTCGTGTGACGAGAAAATAGTGTAAGTCTTAGGTATGAAAACGAGTCCAATCGAAAATATATTTTCCTGAAATAATTCCTTCTCTAGCTGCATCCTAGTGTAGTCGTTTTTTAAGGTAGTACATATTTTTCTCTGTTGTGCAATCGAAACCATTTTAAGTATCTGTTTTAAAAGGTTAGAACAATACTTAGGTGGGATTGATTTTTCCAGGGGTAAAATTTTGAAAAGTTCGTATCAGATCTGATTTCAGATCGAACGTTTCAAAATTGTGTTTGAGAATTTGTTTGAGTGATACACCATTTTTTCTCTGTACATGTCACACGAACAACAAGAATGATCCTAGCTGTCAAAATCGATGATTTCAATACAAGTCCTTAGCCGATCACATTGGCAAGGAGAGAACTCAAGCGCACATTGAGTCATTTATCAATATCTCAGTAATGTAGATGAAAATAGTTGTTCTAGTAATATTCTACATTTTTAAGAAAAGGACGAAACCAGTGAATGCCAAACTTAAAATAATCTAACACATTCTCTTCTCTAGTAATTAGTAATAACAAAATGATATTATTAGTCATCATAGGAATATTTTTCATAGCACTGTCAGCATTCACACAGATGTTACCAGTCAGATGATAATAGTACTAGTGATCAACACGATTATTTATACTGTCACACTTATGCCCGTGTACTTGAACTGATTCCACTTTGCATTCGATCTAATTGGACATTTAACATAAATCATTGTCATCTGTCATCTCTTTCAATTGCAAATAACTACATATTTACTCAGCTATGCATGGATAAGGTAACCACAGTTGATTTATGCAATTGGTGGGCACATGTGATCTTGATTAGGGTGTTACGAATATAACAACAACTAGTCAACGTACATTGGAAATTGGTACTGGTACACCGAGAGAAACTAGTAAAATTGCATGGGTATGAAAGAATTATGTCTCAAAATATATTCTTAAATATTTCTTACTTAAACTTCTATATTCAACTTTCATGTGCGTGTAAAAAGTGACCAGAAAAATATTTTGTTTTGAGTACTCTGGCGTACTCAATGTACCGCTTAATAAAAAGTAAAATTTAATTGAAGTCTGTTCATGTTCTTTTTCTTAAATTTCCAATTTAGCGATATATATCACACTTACATTTTAAAAACTAATATAATGTATTTGGAATAACTGAGATTGCAATATATATTACTAGATTAGAAACTTAAGAAAAAGAACGTAAACAAAATTCAATTAAATTCTGCTTTTCATTAAGCAGAATGCTAAGTATCCCAGATTACTCAAAAGAGTATACTTTTTTGTACTCGTAAGGCGTTCCAAATTTGAAGTTATACCACTACTTTATTTTTGACTCAAAACACCATAGTCAAGAATAAATTTGAATAACACACCATTCGATAGAGCTCATCGAGTCAATAAAACCTAGTTTTTAACTTTACAAGTGCACTTTTTCGGTGGAAAAGAATTAAAAAGTGTACGAACCCAAAATTACGAAAATGGTTAAATTTTCAATAAAACTTCTATAACTCAGTCTCACATCAATTGGAAATCAGTTGAAAATCTTGAGAATGACTCCAACGGATTCTACATCGATTCTTACCCACAGATCCAGATTTTTATCGAATTTGAATGAAAATTAACCGATTTGTTTGAAAATGACTTGTCCGATTTTGGGCGAAAATACCTAAATTTTCCTTGTAAAAAATAAAGTGTGCCACTGGACTTGGACTTTTTTTTGCACACTGAAAACGGCTTATTCAGTGTGCCTGTAACACATGGAATTGCACATATAGCTTGCATAGACAGAACGAGAAAAAAGACCGAAGAAAAGAATAATTCTTCCGTGTTTTTTCCATAGAGAAACGCAAGATAAAAATTCAGATAACACAGTGGCAATTTGCACATCATTTTGGACTCGAAATGCACACTTAAAAAAAGGCACACTAGCGGGCAATCTTAAAACCGAAAAAAATTTTGAGAAAAGCAGAACGTACTTATGTTCTACGTTTAAAGGCGAATCAAACGGCGTGAGAGATAGGGCTTCATCTCTTAGCAGAAAAAATCATTTTGTCTGTGCTGAATTTCCGGATATAACCAATAGAATAGTGAGCTGTCGCAAACAGCGTAAATCAAAGCACCATAAGAAAGGCTCCATGAGACCACCACCTAAACAAAGTGCCGGAAAAATTTCCATTCTGAAATTGCATTTCTAGTTCGAAAGAGTGCAGAAGATTAGCTATATATTAATAATTTCTCAAACCTGGTTCTAATTTGATGGTCCGTTTTCCGTCAATGTTCTATTTTCATTCAAAACAAAAGAAAAAGATTGCAGTTTAAGAGAACAGGCGAAAATTTTATCTACTTCGGGTCTTTATCTTTTATTTTTCGCACAAAAAGGTAGAATGTTGAGTCATTTTATTTGCCAAGTAGGTAATCATCATGCAGCAATGAAATTGCTACGTTTTTTCGTGTTTTGGCTTATCGCATCTGCGTAGCCACATACTAATGACTCCATTTACAACGAATGAACGCGTTAGAGCTTTAGACGGCATGTGACATAAATAACTTTGTTTTTATTCGACTTGTGTTTAATTTTGTTTCATCGAGTACAGTTATTGTTCTGTTTACGACGTGAGAAAAAAATCGAGGTGTCTGAGCTGTTAGAATATCGGCTTTTACAAAAGTTCATCCTTGTAAAGATGATGCTTGTTTCAGAAGTTGTCAATGCTACGGTTATTTTTTTTTACGACGACCACCTTCATTGTGTTACTATTACCATCTATTATTACGATAGTAACTAGTAGTACGTTTTCAACAAACGAAGCTGTAAGTTGGGCTGAAGTAACAGCTTCGAGGTTAGTTAGTTGTTATTGCAATCAATTATCTGGTTTATGGAGGAATGAATTACCATGGCAATCCGGTAATACATTGGAAACACTTGCTAATTTTGTATCTTTACTAGATTCACCTCTAAGGTATGTTTTTTATCAAACATTTATAAAAACAGACATTTTTGTTGGCGGTAATTGCTATGATGATCATCAATGGTGGTTGCTAGGTTGGATACAGGCATATAGTGTTGATCCAAATATAAATTATTTACATCGTGCAGCAGATATCTATGATATCGTTGTAAAAAGAGCATGGAATACAAGGCAATGTGGTGGTGGTATTCACTGGTGTCCACTGAATTCGTATAAAAATGCAATCACTAATGAATTATTTTTAATCAGTAGTATGCGTTTACATCCTTATGCTACACTCCTCGGTAAATCATCGACATATTATCTTGATTGGGCTTTAAAAGAATGGCAATGGTTTGAAAATAGTGGGATGATTAATAATGACTACTTGATTAATGATGGATTAAGGTAGGATTTCGTGCACAGTCATATCTAGAAAGTGAATTTACTGGTTTGAAAAGTAAAATTTCATTAATCGACACCTTGCGGTTTCTGTATCCGCTTTCTTAGAATGATTTAGTGTAATTTTCGGATATTTTAACGAATTTTTAGGGGTTGATATGGAACTAGATACAAATGACTAAAATGCGCTTTTGTCCTATAGGTTGCAGTCTTGCCATATTATGAGTGACGCTGCATATTTATTCTGCTACATTGAACGTTTTTTACTGTCCCATACTAGATACCATATCTCCGCTGTAAGTTCTTTCTTCTCTAAAAAAGGACGGGGCGCATTAGCACGTAAATCGGCCCACTATTGTTGTTGGGGAAAAATGCTTGCACGACAGTAGATTTCATCTTGTTGAAATATTTTTATGCCAGTTTTTGTGTATTTTGATGATATTTTTGACGCATTTTCTTGTCCGCTTAAAGAAAGGATCAGCGATAATGTGATCTTGATATTGTGGTCTAACAGATGCCTGGAATACAACTCCACTATTTAGTTCCTACTTGTTTAGTTTACTTTACTTAGGATTAAATTACCACCAAACTAGTTGCTAAGCTGACAGTCGAATATATCGAAATGTACCTTCAAAGTGTATGAAAACTGGCAGAAATATGTGTTAACAAGATCAAGTGTACTGTGGTGCAAACATTTTTATCGGCGAGATATCAAACAAGCATAGTGGGCTGATTTACGTGCTTATGCGCCCTCGTCCTTTTTTTTGAAGTCATATAGTTCTTAAAGTTGAAAATTTTGATTTTGAATCAGTGTTTTAGAGTATTGAGCGAACCCTAAGAGCCATTGCAGATAAGCCACAACCAACCGTGCTCAATCGACTTTCTCCAAACTTGATTTCAATTACAAAAGTACAAGCAATAGTAAGTGTTTTGCCGCAAATCGTAGCTCTACAACGCAAGTACTTACTGAGATATTCAAGTTTTAAGAAAAATTGCCGTTTTTTTGGTGTTGAATTAGGATCAATTAGCGTTTAATCTTGAGTGTGTTATTTTCTAACAATTTGACTTAGAGACACGAAAATTTCAGTACGAATATAAATTGGATCAGGGTAGAAAACAATGCAAGTCCGGACTCTACAGATCGTTTTATTATCAAGTTATAGATGGTGCTACTGCTACTACTTCACCCTTCATCATCTCGTGTGCAATCAGCTGCGTAAGGCTCAGACTTTTAGGGTAGATACTAGAAGAGTGGGGTGACAACACGGCAAAAGAAAAACTTTGGACTTCCAAGACGAACACGAGATACTGAATGTTTACTGAAATTTCCCATTTTTTGCGTTTTCTCACGTACAATTTCTGTGACGATTTTTCAACAAAAATACCACGAAAATTTGTTTTTATAGGTTATTTTCTATCTTGGATTCAATGATGATGCTACTGGTGTGATCTATGTCATCTAATATTCGATGTTGATACTGAATAATTATACGTCTGTAGGTTTTTGTTGTTTTTAGAAAAGGGATGCAATAAAAACCGAAATCGGCCCCATTTCAGATCTTCGCGAACGATGTCTGGAATGAAAGAGCATGTGATTTATGGTGCTCAGACCCCTAGTTTCCCTTCGGACTTTATATCTGTGAGAAAATCGATAGGATTTGACTAATAGCTCCGCGAACGCATTGTGATATGTTTTTCATACTTTCTCAGAATGAAACAAGTTTGAAGGAAAGTTTTATATACCATTCGATGGAGTTTTAAACGGCAAACAAAACTATTCATTGTTCAATTGTTATGTAAACAGCGAATACCCCCGTTTTTGATGAGATGAGTTACTCGTCTGAATGAGGTGCTCAGCAAGTTTCCACGATGTTCTGTCAAAAACTGTCATAGAAAATACGATACAGATCGAAAAAGGCATTAAGAATACCTCCTCCCTCTTTTTATAAAATTTTCGAATTTTGATCTGAGTATAGTCTAATGTAGAGAAACGTGTGGGCTACAAAATGAAACCACTCCCAGTACTCCACGAGCTTTTTTCAAAAAGTTATGCATTTCTGAAGTTTTTCCTTCAAAGCCTAAAAAAGCTCAATTTCTAGTTTGACAAACTTTTAAGCAGCTTCTGCAGTACTTGGTCGTCGGTTATCTGCAATGGATCCAGAGATGCAACCGGCACCGGTACTAGTACGAATTATAATGCCGACCGGTATAGCGGCATTAGGATGAAGTATAATCAGTCGACCGATATTGCTGGTATTTTGCGGTATGATACGATTTTTTTCGAAAAACATCATGTAAATTCAGTTCATCTGTGACATACTTCTTCCACTAGAATTTTATTCCAATTACTTAAACCTTGTCGGCTTATATAAATTTCTTAATTTACAAGATTGAATTGGAATACTGTTTTCGTAAGAAAAAAGCTTGTGAAAAATTAGCTGTACATAATCAAAGTGAGACGATTAATCTGTCCCTTTGATAATATAAAATAAAGTTCACAGTAAAGAAAAACAAGGAAAAAGTATTTAGGCAAAATATGATCAAGACAAGCCGGTACCGACCGATAAACCGGTCATCGGTTTAACCGACTGGTGGTAAAATCTTGTTGCATAGGACAGATTTGTGAAGTTTCTTACATTTTCTGTGACAGACTTAACATCATGTTGTTCAAATCTAGGTTAACGGAACAATTCCCTGAAAGAGATCATAGGAGAGATGCAGATTCTTTAATCTCTAAAACTTGTGTGAATAATAATGGAACTACATGGACATATAACCAAGGTGTCATCTTATCAGGCTTAGCACTATTATATAATGCTACAAATAATGCAACATTAATTAGTATTGCACAAAAGATAGCCGATGCAGTAATACAACGATTAACATATTCAAATGGTATATTAAAAGAACCATGTGAACCCACGTGTGATAATGACCAGAAACTATTCAAGGGCATATTTGTTCGCCATTTGAGTTATCTATTGCTTTATGTCACCGATACGTTTCAAAGACAAAAGTATACTTCATTTTTACAACAGAATGCCATGTCTCTTTGGTCTACAAATCGATGTGAACTGGATGAATTATTTGGCTTAGTTTGGAATAATGAATCGTCTAATAGTTGTGAGTCATCACGAAATACTGCTACGACTTCAGCCGGATTGGATCTGATGATATCTGTTGCAAGAGTCGAACCGCAAACAATAACATCATCAAACTGGATGTTACTCGGTCTAGGCAACTGTGTAGATTATGAAAACTTCACTATGCCAAATTTTTACAGAAATGAAGTTAACGAAAGTGTCTGTCGTATGACAGCAAACGAAGACAGTGGCGCGGTTGCATATGATTATCACTTAAACTGTATCGGCGTGGGGTTCTGTCGTATACGTACATTGTCTGATCGACATCAGACACCTTCAGGATGGACATATGAAAATGGAACTGCACGCTATGTTACATGTACTGATAAAATGGCACTTGCAAACTGTTTTCTAAGAAGGAATCAGACGTCACGATATTATTTACTTAAAAATTAAACTTTTTTGAGTTTCCATACAGAATACGTACACTAAAATGACTATTCATTTCAAAATATAATTGAATTTGTTCGATATTTCCATGTAGTGTCTGCAACAGCTATTTTTAACATATATTCAGAACTTTAGTTGTGTTCCCCTCTCCTTTATATCAGAAGCAGATATATTCGAAGAATCGAAGAGACGGAGTCATCACCTGGGTTACTAGAAGGGTAAGCACCCATCTCTCCGACTGCGTCACGCATATATTTCTCTTGAGAATCAATTAAACTTCCGTTGAACTGATTTCCTCAGGTCCTTCCTTTTAATACTTTCTCATAACTGAGATATTAAAAATCTTCTCCTGGCATGATGGTGTCTGTCTGCAAAGGTTGTTGAGCACATATTTGGAAATCATGACGAGCTAAAGATTCCACAAATGACATCTCAAATAACACTAGATGTGGTACGGCTGTCATTATATTATGGAAAAATGAGACAAAGTCAGGATTTTTCTTATAATTCAATATTAAAAAAAAGTATCAATGTTTTATATCGGAGTAATAGTGTTTCGTCGTTGAATTATTGAATTTTTATAGAAAAGTTGAAAAACATCAAAGTTTCTTTTTGTTTCAGCACAGATTTCCTATTTAATAAATCTTTTTTAACCTCTGCTTAAGATGGAATCTTTTAATTATAACCAGTTCTACTGATGAGGAACCTTTCTCAGCTGTACAACTCCGTTTTCATTCATTTATATGGCGATCGATAGAGTATATCGAAGTAGTAAAGACCTCAAAAGAGTTCGTCCCCATGACCCTTCCTTAAAATTCTACAGCCGTTATTCTCGATTTTCCAGCAGAAAAACAGTAAACCTGAAAATTTTGTGAGAGAACGACAGTGAATATTCTGAAAAGGATGACGAGCATGACAATTTGTTCCACCAATTCTCAATTGATTATATGAAAAAAGTGTATTTGAAGAAAGTATATTTGAGTGTTTCTAACCCGTTAAAGTAGAAAAAAAACGGGTTTAAGCAGAGCATAACAGCTTGTTTATAACTACTCGTAAACAAGGAAAAAATTGAAAAATAAAGAATTTCCGTCTTCAATGGTAGACCTCCACATCGTAGAAGGTCGGCAGAAGTCTGAATGTCAGTATCATTGGGGCGATGAGCGACGAACTGTCATGTTTCAACTTGTTCGGTTTGTTATGCTTTTCCTAGCAAAAACTCGCTTTCCAGAAAAAAGTGAAAGTGATAGCCGAAAAACTTAGTTTTTTGTCACTGTTACAGCTAGTAGATTCTCCTGGGATTGTCCAAAACAATTCTCATGAAAATCTATTTTCTCTATTCTCTTCACGTAAATGGTACGAGGGCAGCTCAAATCACTCGACTGCTTTTCTGAAGTAAACGTCTTTTATCAAACTATTGAGTCAAATTGAATAGAGCACACTAACCGACATTGTACCTGCAAGTCAGCGTCACTCTTCATCAAGTTATCTACATTTTTATGTGCCTCAGATACTCGTCTCATGGTGTACTTGCTACGTTGTGACATACAGTACAAGTCCTGTTGGCTTGTGATTAATAACTAGTAAAGTGATGAACGACAACCATAGAAGATCATTGATTGGAGAGAAGATACAGACTACCTGAAATTGGGAAGTCGGATTTAGTACGTTACGCCAGCAACTGTAGGCGATCGGATATTCTTCTTCCTAATTCAGATTTGAATGGAAAACATATTCTTTAATGCCGCTGATATGACCAAATACCTATGTCCTTCTTTAAAACGTTCGTTTATTGGCGGCGATGGTAGGCGAGGCCTGTTTCTTGTTAACATAAGAAATGAAGAGAAACAGCAACTGGTTATAGCCAATAGAAAATGGGAGGAAAACGATAACGTCATACATAAATTTGTTCGAACTATCATCTGTTTTTCTTTTTTTAAAAAGAAGTTTGTATAAGGTAGGTATGTAAGTTGAATAAGGAATTTTTTATAGGGTGGCTAATAGAGTAGGAAAGTATCATAGCCTACACACATATGATTTACAGTTCAACGGATTCTTGTCTTTCTTTCTTCTTATCTTTGTTTCTTTTCTTCTAGTCATTTATAAATATTTGGATTTTTATTGATACGGTTTTGCACCATGAGCTTCTGTAGAAACCGTTGGTTTGTTCTGCATTTTTTGTTAAGTAACAAATTTTCAAAAAACAGTCTTTTGAACAGTTATTTTCCAATTACTTGGAGTGTTTTACGCAAGGATTTTTTCTGTAATATACTTCATTTCGAACAGCTAATTTTTGTCTTTATGATGTTGGATGTTAAGGAGACTGGTTGTGTAATGTTTCTACTTTTTTTCTATAATATTTTTGAGGCAAACAGAATAAAATTATATAGAATTGTGAAAAAAATTCATTTGACGAACGTAAAGGCCAAAATCAATGGAAAAAAAAAACATTTTCTTATCCACGTTTCACTCAGAAAGGATTGAAGAAATATTTTTCAACGTGCATGAAGACCCAGAACAACTTTTCTCAATTATAGAATGACAAAAACATTTTTGTGCATTCGACGTGATACAAAGAAAGTAAAACTTATAAAAATGGAACATAACATTTTATATTTGAAAAAAGCGTTTGTAAAAAGGAAATAAAAACTAGCTGCTAAACTAGAAACGAATACAGTCTATTTTGTTAAGTCTGAGGTAACTAACCAAAGATTATAAAAACTAAATGAATGTAAACTTGCTTTATATTTTGAAAACTAGAATTAGTTCATTATACGATTGATTGTGATCATTACTATCAGACTTTGTGATTTTTTGAATAAGTGACTCATAGATAGCCGTACAGCATGCGGAACATACGGACGGCCTTTGGAATATAAACAAGATATAAAATATATGTTTGTGTTCGTAGTATAAAAGTATTGCACAAGTTTTCATGTATAATCTGCACTATAGCACTATGAATAGACTTGGCCCATATAATTCATTGAGTAAACGTGCTTTAACTGTGATAAAATAAATTCGAGACAGTTTTTCGTTTTTGTTTTTAGAATAATGATTCGTTTGAGTTTGATAATTCTGTTTGTAGTAGACACGTGTTATTCTGATGCAGTAATTGTAACGATAGATTGGAATGATATTACACATACAAGCAATACAAGTTTAACGTTACTTGTAGTTGAAAATCCCTTACTTCGACGTGAATCACCGATTCATGATACTGTTTTTCAATCATTGAATCAATTACAAACAGATTATACACGTTTTTTGACATGGTATCCTTATCCGCGTTTAGCCGTAGCCGAATTAGAACCACCATCAGGTCTCTCACAATGTAAAAATGTTCCTTATTTATCTAATCTTACCTTGACATGTGCATTAAGTGGTGGCCGAATTAACAAAATTGAGTTTGCATCATTTGGTACACCGACTGGTACTTGTGGCAATTATACAATTGGCCAATGTCATTCAAATAAGACAATGAGCGTTATACGAAAACTGTGTCTCTTTCGACGTATTTGTACTGTCTATGTTACTAATGATCTATTTGATGGAGATCCATGTCCTGGAATGAATAAACGTTTAGCCGTTCAGATCACATGCTATCCACCTCAAAATAACACATATTGGGATTTCACTACTCTTGATCCATTAGTTGAAGATTTTTTGAATGCAACACAAGGTAATTTCCAACACTGTCAAATTGATTTAAGTTTGTCCGAATTGTTTTACAGGTCATTCGAGTATTATTGATTTTTCTACGCAACCTCGATGGTTGTACACTCTGCCTGCAATAGATCAATATCCTGATTCAGATGATCAAGTTGATTGGAACTATCCAGCTGGAATAGAGTTGATTGATAAAACAGGACAACAAATTGGAGATTATTATGGTCGTTTAGCGGCTTGGTATACAAAAGGAGGATTTATCGATGAATACGGTAGAAAACACGTGAGTAATCATTATTACAATATTTCAATATGGGAAGTGTTAAATGAAGTGGATTTTGAACATTGGAATGGAATTGAACAGTACACACTTATTTATGATAGTGTTGTAGAAAGCGTGAGAAAAATGGTAGATCCTGAACAAAATATTAAATTCGTTGGATTATCGCTTGGAAATCCTAGTAAGTTGGAATGTATAATGAAAATTATTCAAAAATCATAGACATATTGAGGAGGCAGTAGATTTTGAAAATCTGGTAAAGAAGGATTACTGTATCGGCACAGAATTACATCGAATTCGTTAAATGATAATGTACTAAAGAAATACTACAATGAAAGTATACACATAGACACTTGTTTTCTTTTTATTTTAGGTGAATTTACCAAATTTTCTTACTTTCTTAATTCGTCGAATCATCGTCCAAATATTCCACTAGATTGGATTAGTTATCATTTCTACGCTTTTCCAACGAGCAGAACGGATCCACGTACATACGAACAATTCTTCCCACAGACAGATGTATTTGTAGAAAAAGTAAAAAACATTGAAACAATTCGTCGTGCATTATCTCCACTTACACGTACTACAATCAATGAACTCGGTGTCATTCTACCAGATGATAATAATCCTAATGCTGAAGCAATTCCACTGATATACTGGAATGCAGCTGCAGCTGCTTTTGCATATATATTCTGTCAATTAGCACCACTTGGCATTGATGTTATTGGTTCATCTCAACTAGTTGGTTATCCACAATTGTCTGTATTAGGTGGTTTATCACCACAATTTCCATCTGTAGCACTATTAGATTGGAATACTGGTAAGAATAAGCAATCTATTAGTTATTTAAAAATATCGGACTCATTTAGGTATTGGAAATGCACGATATTGGACACTCACGCTATTACATTCACATTTTCAAGCTGGTAGCAAAGCAGTAAGAACGGACGTCAGCGGCGTAGCACAACCGAGAATTTATGCTCAAGCATGGGTGTGTAATCAGCAAAAACATAAATTATTATTAATCAATACAAAGTTCGGTGAAGTAAATGTCACGATAGAAAACAGTGCTGGTAGTATCGCATGGATAGTAGATAAATTTAGTAATGAATCAGGTGCACGATCGCTGCGAATGAGTAGTGATACACTGTTGATTACAGAATATGCGGTTGTTGTTATTGAACTAGTATTACCTCCTTCGATCACTTTCAAGACTTACCTTAGCATTTTATATATTCTTTGGTTTGACGAAAATTCGTTTATTGTAGCAGCTGCGCTGATATTATTATTTATGATATATTACAAGAAAAGTTAAGACAAATGCGATAATGAGTAATTAATTTGTAATACATTGAGACAAACACATAAGTTAGATTTTTTTCATAAAAAAAATAGAAGTCTGCTTTTCGATTATTCTAAAGATATTTCGATTAAAGATATTTTCTTTTTTTTCTTGGTAACAAATATGTATAGTACAACCTCAAGCGCGATACGAGCATTAACCATTTCTAGTCGTTATCAGCCTTTCATTATCGCGTTACAATCAAATCAGACGGCTCCTAGGGTAATGGTGAGAATCGGTTTAATAGCATGTGCTGTGCCAATGAAATACTGAGCAGCTGCACGCTATCTCTTTTGTTGTAGGATGCCTTCCATTGAATCTGACTAATTTGCAAGGGAGAAAAAGCTGATTTGAAGCTCTTTTCGATTTTGACTGATTTAAATCGATTTCAAATCGATTTTTGCCGATTCTGTCACTCAAAATCGATTACGCAAAAATCGATTTTCCGTCATTTTGATACCCAAAACCAGCTTTTCCCCCCTTGAAAATGACTAAAAATCGATTCTTGCGTAATCGATTTTGAGTGACAGAATCGACCAAAATCGATTTAAATTAGTTCAAATCGATTTTGAGCCACAAAATCGCTAGGAATCGATTTAAATCTATTACAGTGGTCGAAAATCGGTCAAAATTGGCCAAAATCGAAAAGAGCTCCGAATCAACTTTTTCTCCCTTGCTAATTTGACTCATTTAACCAGGATCTTCGTTCGCATCAGAGACCGTTGAATAAAGTCAAAACAGAGAAATTGAGAAAGAGATCTTTTTGAACCAAAGAATGAAAAAAGTAAATCGATGGATTTTTGCGCAGTATTTTCTGACAAGTTCTTTTATAGGTTTTCTGGAAAACTCCAGTTCTCTTCAGGCACATTACGATCACGCGGAAAAAATGGTCCGGTCGAGCTCAAAATTTCACCACACATACTTTAGACTTTTTCCGAGGTTCGTTTTTTTTCTTTTCGAAAGATATACTTTCTACTCTTGATATTCGAAAAATACTAAAACTGCTGTATAAAAAACCGCTTATAAAAACCTTCCCACGCCTAACCTCGAAAGTGAATACGCTTTAAAAAGTTTAGAATCTGACATGGGATCTAACGTATCTGTAGTAAACATTTGAGCTCGATCGGACCAGAAATTAGCTTCACCTCTTCATACAAAAACTAGATAGGTTTACAAGATTAGTTATGAACATTTTATAGAAGAGACCCACTTCCGTGCTGCATAGGTCTTTGGCTTCAGCCTCGACCAAGCGTCATTCGCATACTCAGTTATTAATGCTGAATCTGAAAACGATACTTGCAAAAAATTAGAAGCATGAGAAAGAAAACAATTGAGTAGTTTTGAAACTAAAGTGTTTTACAAAATTTTAGACTAGTTTTTTCAATTTTTCTTTCTCGAAAAGGTTTAATAAAAGTTAAAACACACGTATTCTTAATCAGCCCGTCAAGTTCTACCCAATCATATGTAAAAAGCCAAAAATAAATTTTGTGCTAGCTTTGCATTATTAACATCTTACAATATGTGTTTTTCTCATTATACGCTTCTCTAGTCTAGACCTCAGTGAGTAGTGAAATACCCGAAGTTGGTTCATCCCCATGATGCTTTGTTGCTGAGATATTGAATTTTTAGTCAGTTTTTGCCAATACAGCTTGGATCTCGAGCAAAATCCGACTTTCGAATTTTGACTTGAAACTTGCCACACTGGTAGCCCATGGTCATAGTAGCACGACGGGAAAAAGTTCGATCCTAATGAATTTTCCTGCCTTGATATATTGAGACTCGAATATTTCACCTGAAGGTGAGGGTGAGGGTCAGATGTTCGAGTCTAAATATATCAAGGCAGGAAAATTCATTAGGATCGAATTTTTCCCGTCGTGCTACTATGACCATGGGCTACCAGTATGGCAAGTTTCAAGTCAAAATTTGAAAGTCGGATTTTGCTCGAGATCCAAGCTGTATTGGCAAAAACTGACTAAAAATTCAATATCTCAGCAACAAAGCATCATGGGGATGAACCAACTTCGGGTATTCACTACTCACTGAGGTCTACAAGATACAAGTAGTCCGAGTTCAAAAGCGATTTATAACCTCAAGAGGTTCCCTCGTTAGTTATTAGTTTAGTTATTATTTTACAGATGTTTTCTTTTTTATTTGTTTTCTGGATAATCTTTCAATATCCGTACAACGTGATCACATTGTTTGTACGTAAAAAATAAGACAAAAAAGAAATAAAAGACAAAATAAAAAGAGGCAGACGAAGAAATAAAGAAGAAAACAACTGAAACATAGCAACTGTGTAAAGGATGGCAGACACATTCACGACCTTCAAATAATTAAAGAAAATCCGGTAGGTGCTATCCCAATGGCGGATAAGTATGTCTTTACTAAATATATAAGTAGAAAAGAGCGGAAATTGGAAAATATTTATTGAAAAAAAACACTTTGCTTTACGCCATTTACGCGCGAATGCAACACTGCGTTCATTCTAATGGCGTTTTTAAGCAAATAACATATTCGTTTTCCCAGAACCACTTAGAATAGGCTAAAAAGCACGCTAAACATTCCTAGATGATAATAACTTTTAATACTGGATGATGTTACTTACCGCATGCCGGAAGCGTCTTTGTCACTCACAGGGGCCCATCGCTGATTCGCAATGATGGGGGGCGTCCCGGGGCTGCCGGTAGCTATTTGTCTTGCTATCAGGTTAGCCACCTGTCTGCAGGACTTTGAATCTTTCTGGCTAATGAAAAGGATCAATAAACTACTTATCGATACAATTAAACTAGTCTACTCATTGGAACTTCATCACTCTTGTTGACTTGAGCGAGTCGATCTAGATCAGGTTATTCTTGGTGTCCCACTGCTGTACTTCAAATT